CCGGCTCCTCCACTTCCAATCCAGCTTCTGGCTACTGAGCACCCTGGGAGGCAGCAGGCCACTGGTGAGGCCTCAAGTACTTGGGTCCCTGCCACCCACATGGGGGACCTGAACTCCAGGCTCCTGGCTTCAGCCTGACCCAGAATTGGTGGCATTGGGAGAGTGAGCCAGTACATGGGACATCTTTCTGTGCGTGCCTCTGCCTCTCTGCCTTTCAGCTAAGTAAAAACTCCTTTTAAAAGGGAAAAAGGGAGTGACCAGAACCCACACTACCTAATGAGGTGTCTGGCTTCTGTCTCCACCTCCATCTCCTGATGCTGACTGTTTGCTGTGTGCACTGTGGCAGGCACCAGTGGGGGCTCACGTAGCTGGGTCCCTGCCAACCACGTGGGCGACCCGGGCTGACTTCTTAGCTTCTGCTTTCAGCCTGGACTAACCTAGGCTGTGGCAAGAATCTGGGAAAATGAACTAGCAGATGAAAGCTGGCTGTCCTCAAACCTCTCTCTGTCTTTCTACCTTCTTAATAAAATGAAGACAAATGAGAACATTTTAAAAAGTTCCACAACAGTGCAAGGCACAGAGCCGGCATTTCGTGTCTGGTCTCTGTTTCTGGGTTTACTGCTCATTCCTGGAAACCAACCTCCTGTCCAGCTGACCCCAGAATCCCTGTTGCCCAGCACAGCCCCCGCCTGATCGATGACCAATGACTGCACATATCTGGAGCAATGCGTGGTCCTGGAAGAGTTACTCATGTGAGTCATGGTCCCACAGCCTGGACACCTGGCTTGGGGAAAGGGGGTTGGGCAGATTGGATTTGACCTTGTAAAGCTTAGGAGGGGTGGGGTCTCAGGGACCAGTACCACTGCAGAGTCCACCCCTCAATCTCTGTCAGGGCTGCTGATCTCAAAGGGGGTATCGCTCTAACTTGGGAGATGCTTCCAAGACTAGTCTATCCTTGGGGACACAGACAGCCATGGTAAGGAACAGACAGGGACAGCACATTCATAGAAATTAGGAAATCAGTCAAGACCCCAGAAGACGGCTCCCTCAAAGGGCTCAGCAAGAGAGGTGGACACAGGGCAGGCAGGAGGGAGGGAGGGAGGCATCCAGGACTGTGCCATGGTTGGAAGGCCTGGCTACCGTGAACCCACCACGGTCAGGGAAAGGAGTGGTAGCAGCTGCAGCTGCAGACAAGAGCTGTGGCCTTGGGCAGTGGGGCTCCACGTGGCCACCCAGCCGTGCACGGGGGAGACACCTGCTCACTCTGTCACCCAGCCTTAGGACCGGTGAAGCCTGTAGCCTGCATTGCCAAGGCTGGCATCACATGTCACACAGAGGGAGCGCTGCTTCCTGTCTCGGCTGCTTTACTGACAGTCTAGCTGCCTGATCACGCACCTGCGAGGGCAGAGGAAGATGGCCCAAGTGTCACCCAAAGGGGAGATCTGAATGGAGTTTCTAGCTCGTGGCTTGCACGTAGCCTAGCCTCAACTATCGTAGCCATTTGAGGAGTGAGCCAATGCATAGATCTATCTCTGTCTCTTTTTCTCTCTGATAATTCATTTTCAATTAGATAAAGAAAATTAATCTTTAAAAAATTTATTTTTGTTGGGAAGGCAGCTTTTCAGAAAGAAGGAGAGACAGAAAGGCCTTCCATCCTCTGGTTCACTCCCTAAATGACCACAACATCCAGAGATGGGCAGCGCCAGGAGATTCTTCTGGGTCTCCCACTGGGATGCAGGGACCCAAGCACTTGAGGCATTCTCCACTGCTTTCCCAGGAAGATTATTAGGGAGCTGGATGGGAAGTGGAGCAGTGGGACTCCAACCAAGGCCCATTTGGATGATGGTGCTGCAATGGAGGCTTAATTTGTGATGCCACAGCCCCAGAAAATACACTTAAAAAAATTTTTTAAGCCCCAGCCTTTTGTCACTGCTTCCCCTGCCCCTCACCCCACCTCTCCCCTTCCCAGGGGAGATATCTCCTGGCGGGGTGATGCCATGGCTTCAATGGGAGGGTTACAGGGGGCAGGGGATGCAGTGAAGGGGGTCATGGCAATGTCTCCTGGGTGTGTACCATGGCAGACGCTGCCACCGTGCACAGCACTGGCTCCTGCTGCGATTGAACAAAGATAGTGGTGACCAAGGATAATAGGTGGGCCGGGGTGTGGGGCAGGGACTGGGTTGCAGAGACAGCAAAGTCATGAGGTCATTTCTAGCTGCATGCTATCTTCCTAGGGACCCACGCTCCCCCCCCACCCCAGATGATGGATGTAGCTGTTCTCTAACAGGGAAAGTGGAAAACTTCTCGGCTTCCGTCAGCCAGCAGCTTCCATGGGCCTGGGGCAGGGGGAGGGGAGGGGAGGGGCGGCTCATGATGGAGGTGATGACACCGGGAGGTCAATGCCATGGATGAAGCTTTGTGACCTGATTTTCCCTGCAGGTAGCGGGGGTCACTCCATGTCACCCAGGGCCACATGATCAAGAGAACACAACAGGAGTGCGAGGAGGGCACAGGCTTACCTGGGTGAGGTGGGGTGGGCAAGTGTGAGCGATGCCCGCGGGCTCTGGGCTATCCCGGGGGTCTCCAGTTGGCTAGCAGCAGTCCTGCAGGGTGCATGGGATGAAGTGGAGAAAGAGCATCCTAGCAAAACGGAGTAGTGTGCTTGGATGGGGAAGGGAGGGAGAGGACGCCTGTGCGTAGAAGTACAAGTCATAAAGCTGGAGAGGTGACAGGAAGGCGCTCTGGAGGTCTCTCCTGAGCTCAGCTGAGATCTTCTGGGTCTGTCCAGAGGGCCAGGGGAGCCTCGGGTGGGCTTTCAGCTTTGTGGTGTGGGCCGGCCAAAATGGTGAAGCCGGCAGGAAGAGGAGGCAGGAGCAGACCCTGGGGAGGGAGAAGGGAAGAGGTGAGGCAAGCAATCTGCCCCTCACCCCACCTGCTGGTCCTAAGCTCTAGTGCAGTGACCCTGAGCTCCAGGTGTGGCACAGTCACCTGCAGGGTCTCTGCTAAAACCCACTTGGCTGGGCCTCACTACGGACTTCTAGCAAATCTGGGCTGGGTTCCAAGAAGGTCTGTTGCCAGCAGGTTCCACAGTGAGGCTGAAGCTGCTGGCTGGGGGACCCCTCCTGGAGAACCACCGTCCAGATGCCCCCTCCCATTCTCACCCAGGGGCTTTGCACTTGCTTCTCCTGCTCTTCCCCACCTCTGAGTCACCTCCTCCAAGAAGCCTTCTTTGACTACCCATTGTGAAACAGTCCCTCCTTGTCTAGCCCCCTATCCTGAGGTCACCACTAGGAATTGTCTGGTGTCTGCTTGGCTGTGACCAAAGTACAAGTGGGCACCAGTCAGGGATCTGTCCCCCGGGGGAGCCTAGGACAGTGCTTGGCGCACAGAACTGCTCAAGGATGTCTATGACATGAAAAGCGGCCAAGGTGGCTTCGTGCACCCTGGACAGTCCTCTGGCAACAGCAGGTGGTCGCCCCTCCTACCTACTAGGCAAAGCTCTCTGGGTATGGCCTGGAGTTACGGGCTGGGGCTGGAGCTCATCCTTCACAGGCAGGGCAGGGTGGGGTGAGAGAGAGTTGAAAATAGGTGACCTTTTCAGGCAGGTGCAGGAGGAAGGAAGGGCCCATGGCCCCATCACAGCAGAGAGGCCCCGGGGAGCAGGGCCACCTGTCTGAGTCACACCCATCAGTAAGTCAGCAGACCCCAGCAAGCCTGGGGGCGGCAGGTGCTGGGAGGAGGAAGCAGCCCATCCTGCCTCCCCCACAGAGCATCACAGAGGTCTGGGCAGGGCATGGGGACTTAGTTTCTCCGGCTGGGGAATGGGCACAGCGGGGAGGTTTGGGGCTTGAAGGGTGCTGAGCACCAGGTGCAGGTGTCTGCTTGCCCTTGATGACCTCACCCAGCTCTTCAGCTCTACCCCCTCGCACTCCCATCGCCTTGAGCTCTGTACCTGCCCTGCCTCTGCCTTTACCTGAGCGCTTTGCCCTCCTACCTCCCCTGCCCCCAATTGTCCCAGTGCCTGCTCTGCTCAGCAAGCTCTTTCGGCTGGACGTAGGCATAGAAAGAATGAGCACTTTGGACCCTCCCTGCCACTGATAGCTTTGATGACCTCAGTTTTCCTTGCTATATATTGGGTGTCTCAACCTTCTAGACCATAGCAAAGGTGAGACCATATTCTGACAGGTGCCGTCCTTCGCCACCCCTTCCCCTGCTCCGGGGGGCCAGCTGCTGCTGCCGCCCTGAAGCTCTGCAGAATGTGTTGAAATTCCAGTAATACCGACAGCTTTGGGCAGGTCTGCCAGGCAGCCTGGCTGAAGGCACAGACTGTGTCCCCACTCCTGACTGCACCCCAGTTGCTGGCTCAGTGCTAGGAGCAGGCCAGGAAGGTTGACAACGCACAAAACCCAGGCCAAGTACCCAGCTTGGGAAGAGCCATGCCTTAGCCGCCCTCCATCCATTCCATCAGGCCAGCCCTGGGAGGTGTCCTGCCCGAGGGACCTAGGTGAGGGATAAGGGTGGAGAGGTGGCTGGGACCCAGGTCCTGAGGCCCTTGAGTGCCTCACATGAAGTGGGTCATGGGGAGCCATGTGGGTTGTAGACAGGGAGGCCTCAGGGTCAACTGGGAGCTGGGCAGAGCTGAAATGGGGAAAAAGGACAAGGCAGATGGGCCATGCCCTGCTTTCCTGGGGAGGTGGGGGAATCACAGGAGGGCAGGTGCCATGGGCAGAGCCAGCAGGAATGGGAACTGGCTCCTGGCCACCTGAGTGGGCACTGGGTGGTGAGTATGGGGGCAGGACCCTGTTGTCTCACACAGGGCTGTGTGATCTTAGGCGAGTTCCTTTGCTTCTTTGAGTCCCAAGTTCCTCATCTGTGAAATGGGTTCATCACAGCACAGCTGCGTGGGCTGGCTGAGCAGTGAGCGGTCCATGAGGTCATGAAGACATGCAAAGCATTTCCCCAGGTCACAGTCCCGCGCATAGCAAGTGCCACAACGGCAGAGGGAGGCGTCCTTGTGGGTCCTCCTGGGATGATGTTTCAAGTCAGCGACAACGGTGCCCCTCCTGCAGGGCAGCCCCCAGCCCGGCCATTTCAGGTGGGCGCCCTTGGGTGATGTCTTTTTCTGTTTCCTGGTGGGGTGGGTGGGGACAGTAGTTGAGAGCGCAGGTGCCACCTCCTGTCCCTCCCTGTCTATTTCCAGCGTGGCTGCCTGAGACCTCTGCCAGGTGCGGGGATGAGTCAGAGTCAGGGTGAGAAGATGAAGTGGCCCTGGGCGCTCTCACCACCTCCTTCCTTCAGCCTTTCCAGGGGTTCAGGGGGTGGGGTTGGACAAAGGGTGGGGGCAGAGGAAGTCTGGGCTAGAACCTCCAGCATGCCCCAAACCTGCCTCTTGGCTAGCTGGAGGTGGGGACAGGGACCATGGCCTACTGATTTCTGCTCTGTTATACCTAACAGACAACCAGAACTTGGCATGCGGTAGGCCTGCAGCAAGCATTCCCTGAGTAAACCAATGCTTGTGCAAGACTTTAAGAAGACAGAGTGCTCCTGTGTAGAGGTCATGGTGAGTGAAGGCTTCTGAGACACAAGGTGTGAACTGAAATGCTGGACCTGCTTTTCCTTTGCTGTGTGACTTTGGCTAAACCACTCACCTTCTCTGAGGTTCGATTGCTTTATGATGATGAAGGAGGTTGTCTGGTGCAGAGAGCGCAGCCCAGTATGTGGCCCATGGAGGCAGCTGTAGACAGACCTGTAACCCAGCAGGAGGTTCAGCCACTGGGTCAGCTACGATAGCAAGGGTTGGAATTGCACCCCCTGAAGAGAGCTGGGCTCAACTGCCCATCTGTAAAATGAAGGGCCAAGATCGAGTGCCCAGGGGGTCCTGCCAGCTCCTCCCAGTTGGGCCGAGGCAGGTGGCCATGGGCAGAGTCCTGTGTGCTGACCGCTCAGTGAGAGGCAGGACACAGATGACCTGGCTAGCTGCATCCCAGGTGGGCCCGGGCTCCGAGGAGGTGGTCAAGTGAGGGCTTCCTGACGCTGGCCCCATGAGCCCACAGAGACCAGCCTGGGGCCTCTGCAGGTTCAAAGGACATGTCCCAGGCACACAGCTAATGAGGCAGCAGGAGCTGGCAGCTGAGCCCACACCTGGCTGCCTCCAAGATCAAGGCTGCCCCCATGGCCCCATGCACCTGTCCTGCAGTCTGTCCCTGTGGTGCACTTGCAGCAGGCATTATTTACGCACTCCTCCTTTTATGAATGCAGAAACAGGCCAGAGAGCAGGAGGCACTCTGCCAGGCGCACTCAGCTGTGCAGTAGAGGAGCCAAAACCTGACCTTGGTTCTCCTATCCCTGGGCCTTTCCTGCCACAGCTGGGGGACTCTCACAAGCCACTTCCTCCACCACCTGGACCTCACCACCCACCCACTGTCCTCTCCAAGTCCCCACCACATTGTCCTCCCATCCCCCCTCCCCCTTGGCTTGGACCGGGTTTCCTCTTGTCCCCCCATCTCACCCTTGTCTATTGCGTTCTTTCAGTTTCTTGACCAATATTTTACTGGATGTCCTAGTTCTTCCCATTTGGTTACTAAACTTTCCTTTATTTTCATTTTACTTGGAAGGCAGGGAGGCAGAGAACTAGATAGAGATCTTCCATCCTTTGATTTATTCACCTCAAAGTGGCCAGGAGCCTGAAGCTCCATCCAGGTGTCCTGCGTGAGAGGCAGAGGCTCAAGCACTTGAACCATCACCACCTGCCACTTCCAGCATGCGTATCAACAGGAAACCGACCGGAAGCAGAGGGACTGGGACTGGAGACAGGCACTCCGATTGGGGATGTGGGCATCCCAGGCAGCACCCCAGTTTCCAGCATCAGGAATACAGAAAGAAAAATAAAACAAAGACCCTACCCACAACAGTGTTTCGGTCTAGTGTTGATCGGTGCAGGGGGAAGGCAGACCATACACAGAGAATCCAAATGGGTGCTGTTGGGAGGGTTGGGCTTGTAAATGTTTAATGGGAATACAGAGTGCCAGGTGCCCACCCAGAGGCGGAAGCGAGTGTGTTGGAAAGCTAGGCCTGGGAGAACAGGGCTGCTCACCCTTGGGAGACAGCCAGGAGGGTTTTTTGAAAGAGGGTCATACAGGAAGGTATCCCCAAAGACAAAGGCTGTCTGATTTGAGCCACTCCGCAAAGTGGATCAGACCGAGAAGTGGACGAACAGTACTGCTAAGGTAGGGAGTGTGACGCAAGTATAAGGCACCAGGAGTGGAGAGGTGGAGCCAGATGGTGAAAAACTTGGACTTGAGCCTGAGGGTGATGGGGAGCCTTTGAGTGTTATTGAGTAGTTGGAGGGACCCCTGCAAACAGAACTTAGAGCCCTCACCGCGGTGACAGTGCTGGGGACTGGAGAACCCAGGCAGGACAACGTCTGGTTTAGGCTGGTGCTGGGGGACAGGGGTGTCGGAGCTTAGTTCCCCCCCAAGGAACATATAAACACCCAGAACTGGACCCAGCAGGCTGTTGGGGGTGGGTCCTGGAGGCAGTAGGAGAGAGGCAGTCTCCGGGTCTGAACCAGAGCGAACCAGACAGGTCCTGGTCTGGAGCTGGGCAGAAGGGGGTAGGTAGTTAAAGGGGTTTGACTTGGCAACGTCACACAAAGGAATTGAAGGTGGTGCTGTACCCATGACCAAGCTGGGTCCTATGCCAGAGCTAGAGAAAGAGAACCTCACGCCTGGCTTCTGGCTTTTATAAGGTAGCACTCCCTGCATGCTAAGAGCGACACAGCTGGTCTCCTGAAGTGGCCACAGCGCTGCCTGAGCAGATACCGTCGTGATTCCTGTTTCATTGGTGAGGGACCTGAAGCGTGGAGATGCCAAAGTCAGCGGCTGTGGGCCGCACATTGACCTTGACATTGAGCTGGATCAGACCCAAGCCTGTGTGCTCCACTACGCTCTCAGCATTGTGCTGTGCGGTAACTGTGGAAAAGGAAACCTGGGAGCCCTGCTGGGGGCTGTCCTTGCCAATCTGTGGGGCACTGTCATGACTTCTGTCAACTGCATGCCCCCACGAAGGAGAGGACTCCTTTTTTTTTTAATTAAAATTTTTTTTTCACTATTTTATTCATTTGAAAGGCAGAAATGAGAGAGAGAGAGAGCAAGAGAGATTTCCCAATCACTGGTTCACTGTTAAATGCCTGCACAGCCACTGGAGGTGCCAGGAACTTGGGACCCCAGCAGGGTCTCTCAGGTGGATGACAGCTGCCCAAGAACTTGAGCTATCACTTGCTTCTTCCTAAGATGTATATGAGCAGAAATACTGGACTTGGAAGCAAAGATAGGATTCAAACCCAGGACTGTGGCTGGATGTGAGCACCCCAAATGGCACCTCCCACCAGCCCCTGCCCTGGTACCGAGGACAGTGTGGGATGGGACCGTGCTGTGGTTTCAATGTTTGTGTTGTCTCCAAAATTCAGGTTGTAGCCTGTTCCCAATGTGACAGGAACAAGCCTGAAATGAGCATGTGAGAGGGGTGAGGGAAAGCCTTGAATACTGGTGGGTCTGCCTTCAGCCCGGGATTTGGCTCAACTCTTGCTGTTCTATCCCTTATTGCACGTGGGAACACAGCGGTCCTCCCCTCTGGAGGACACCGCAGTCCAGGCCCTCCACAGACACAGGGTTCATCAGGATTTTGACCTTGAAGAAATAGTTGTGGTTGTTTGTAGCCAGTCTGGGATTTTATCAGCATGGACTGACTCAGGGTCTAGTGTCGCATGTGGGGTCTGACACATGGTAGGCATTTTGGCTTGCAGTAAACTTTTTGTGAAAAGGGGACTTGGCTGTAGGAAATTAATTGTGTGTAAGAACTTTCAGTGCATCTAAAGTCTAATGGTTTGGCACACAGTGGGCATGCGGGGTCTGGCACGTGGTGGGCATGCGGCATCTTGCATGTGGTGGGCGTGTGGGGTCTGGTGTACAGTGGGCATGCGGGTCTGGCACATGGTGGATTGTTGACTTCATTCTTTGAATCCCCAAACCTTGGCTTGATGCTCCACGTGTACTTCCTGCGATAGCTCAGGGTACACCTAACAGGCGCTGCATAAGTTTTTCTTTTTTTTTTTAAACATTTATTTAGTTTTATTGCAAAGTCAGATATACAGAGAGGAGGAGAGAGACAGGAAGATCTTCCATCTGATGATTCACTCCCCAAGTGACTGCAATGGTTGGAGCTACACCAATCAAATGCCTTGAGTCAGGAGCTTCATATAGGTCTCCCACGAGGGTGCAGGATCCCAAGTCTTTGGGCCATCCTCAACTGCTTTCCCAGGCCAGAAGCAGGGAGCTGGTTGGGGAGCGGGGCTGCCAGGATTAGAACCGGCCCCCATATGGAATCCTGGCACGTTTAAGGTGAGAACTTCAGCCGCTAGGCCACCATGCCGGGCCAGCTCCATAAATTTTTCTTCATTGATTGAGCAAAGTATGACCAAACAAAAGAGTGAGGACCCGCGGAATCTGCAGTTCTCCTGGACTCTGCAGCTGACGCTCTCGATGGATGTGTCTGACCTTCACATTCCCGATGAGATGAGCCCAGCCTTGGCCACTCCAGCACTCCTGGCAACAGCCAGGGCAGACAACGACACCGCCACCGGAGGCTCCCTGCCATGCACAGGACAGGCAGCAGGAGTGAGCACGCAAGCTGTGGCTGACATTAGTACAGGGTTGTCTCTGTGCTGGCTCCATCAAGACAACAACTGTGCCTGCAGTGTTTTCCAGATATCAGGCCGCGGCTACAAGAGGATCAGACAGCCCTTCCTGAGCCAGCGTTGTGGAGGGAGGAACAGGAAATGAAACAATTAAGGATGCATCTTAAGCCTGAGAACACAGTCTACATGTGCCAGGAAGAGTGCTGGGCTGGGGTGCTGTGTTGGGGAGTGGGTGTGGGTGGCAAAAAAGTGGGGTGTCTCTCAGCACAGACTTCCAGGCTTCACGGAAATGCTTTTATTCAGGCTACAATCAGAGCACGGGAAGGAATGCACCTTGCACAATCACAGGAAAGGGCACACGTGGCCTAAGGAACAGCGAGACAGAAAGCCCAGACTTTAGGAATTGAAAAGAAAAAAAAAAAAAAAGAAAGAAAGAAACTTTAAACAAGCAAATCAGTATAACAAGTGTAATTCTTTAGGTATTCATAGTGATGCATTAATTTGATCATTCAACGAATCCAGTCCCTTAAGGAATGGCCCTGTGCTAGGCCCTGGGGGTCCAACAGTACGGCATGCAAGCAACATTCTTGCCACACCCACATCCAGGCCTGGCACCCCATGGGGTGGAGCAGCTCTCCAGTTTGCAAAGGACTCCCCAGTGCGCCTCGGATCCCCAGGGAGTCCAAACAAACTGCGAGGCTCTGGTATTCCAGGCAACCCTCCAGCCACAGGCAGCTCCCTGCTCCCAGCCCAGAGCGGGAGGCTACTCTGCTTCCTGCCTCCCCTCCCCCACCCACCTGGGCACAGAGGGTCTTTCATCCATTGTTACTGCTTCCTGCCCATCCATCTCCAGCTGCTGAGCTGAGCCCAGCACATTTACACTGACAAGCAGCTGCTTTCTCCAAGAGATCCCGGAGGGGGCTACGGAGGGGCGTGGCCTTGGGTGGGGAGAGGCTGGACAGGGGGAGGACTACAGCCTTCAGTGCTGAAGAGTGTCCTGTCCTGGGGAGGTGTTGGACCAGGAGCAGGCTCCGCCCCTCTAGCCAGGGGAGTGACTAATGACCCTTGTCACCTCTGGACCTGGCTCACCCAGGACTGGGTCTTCTCCGGCCCCACGTAGCATGGTTGGGATGAGCCCCACCATCTCCACCCACTGCTGGCTGCAGGGGCTGGGATGAGTTCCTGGAACTCTCTAGGCCTCAGTGTCCTCACTTGAGAAGTGGATCTGTCAGTTCAGGCCATGCCCAGCAGAGTGATGGGGAGAGTGACCATGATCACAAGATGCCTGGACGCACCACGCCAGAAAATGGAATGTGTTCTCTGGGGGCTTCGGTTCTAAGCAGGACAGATAAAGGGTGGGTGTTGGGCAGCTGGGGTGAGTGACTGCCTGAGATGCCGGAGTGTGCAGGTTTGAGTCCAGCTCTGACTCCAGCTTCCTTCCAAGGGACAACCCTGAGAGATGAGGGCTCAAGGACTTGGGTCCCCGCTGAGTGGGCAATTTGGGTTGCATTCCCTGCTCGTGGCCTCGGTCAGACCCCACTCCAGCTGTTGTGGGCATTCAGGGTGTGAACCAGTGAATGGAGGATCTCTGTCTGCTTGTCTCTATCTTTCAAATGAAAAAAACCAACAAGCAACAGAAAGTAGGACACTTACAAGGCGGCTCCTGTGAAAGGACACTTGATTGAGCAAATGCTGTGTGCTGGCTGCGAGGCTGAAGATGAGGAACCACAGACCTAGTTCCTGTTCTCAGGTGAAGCAGTCAAGCAGGACCTGGTGCCACAGCTTAATTGGCTAATTCTCGCCTTGCAAGTGCCAGCATCCTATATAGGCACGGGCTCATATCCCAGCTGCTCCACTTCCCATCCAGCTCCCTGCTTGTGGCCTGGGAAAGCAGTTGAGGATGGCCCAAAGCCTGGGGACCCTGTACCACGTGGAAGGGCTGGAAGAAGCTCCTG